TCACAAACTATCAATTTTTACAACTTTTGAAACTGTGGAATAACAGAATCGAAGAGTCAATATTGAATGTCAGTTCTGTATTCAAATTTTCAACTCGAGACTCTGTCAGGTGTAAGTTCTGATTCATCTGGTTGTTCATTGTCCATTATTGATTTGATGAAGACGAAAAGGCCTAACAATTGTATTTATGTTCGATTTTATATCTGTTATCAGTTAATCATGTATTTGTTTCATCACCTCATTGATCATTCACTTGATTTACTATTTTCACAGTCTGTCTTTTTGCATGTAAAATGATTGATTCGCTCATTTTGAGTTTTTCAGTGATAACACTGTTTTGCTTTTTCTTATCTACGAATTATTTTTCCACTTTTCAAATTGTGGTTGATTGAACACATCTTTGACACCCAATTACCGCCTTTTGATTGATCTTTTGCTGTAGTCGGGTTAATAAAAGACAGTATTAACAAAGTGACATTTTGCATTCAAATTCGAGATTCAAGTTCGATTACACATCGAATAAAAAAGCTTTTTTCTCAAGATTCAACGCGATTTTGGTTTTCAACTTTTTTTGACTTGAGAAACTATGATATTAATATATGATTCTTTCAATCAAACTAACATTCTTGAAAAGACAAGAGGATTCAATTCTAGATTTTGTTTTAGGTCACAGTTACAATAGAATTCGAATCAAATGTATATTAGTTTTACGAAAAATTAAGCCCTTTTCAGATGACGACCATCATGCATGGTGGTTTAAATACAAGAACTATCATAATGCTCAATATTAAAAGCAACATGCTCAATATAAAAATTGAAGGATGAACAATCATACAGAAAACATTATTGAAAAAACAAAAAGGAAATATCTGATTATCACCAATTTGAGTAGAATTATAGAATGATTTTGCAAATAATATAGTGATATTTACAAAGCTATAATTATGATTAATTTAAGACAGAAAAACCGGTATGTATGAAAGTTATAATCACAGAGAAATTCATGAGGAGGATTTGGTAATGTTCTTTGGGAAATTAAATTAATTGGCGCTCATACCAAAACTGAAGTCCATATCGCTAATTATTTTCCTTAAAGATTATCAATATCGAAAATTGATTCATTAATTGAACGAAATTTGAGAAAAATAAAAACAACGCAAAAAGTATCTACTACATGAATTATTCGTTGTAACTATAAGTTTATCAATACTTCTATCTGATTCTGACCTTTTGATCTGTTTTTAGATTTTTGTTAAATATTGAAGAATTCTAAATTGATGATTTCATTATGTTTGTCGAGGCAAGTTTTATCATCCATTTAGTGACAGTTTTTAAATAAACACAGTTAAAGGTCAATTACAGCCTACGAGTTTTTTTGCACATAGTCAGGCAAAACAAGTGAAACTAACCTGATCAGATGAAAACTATTAGAATAACAGTTATTTATAAAAATAAACATTTTTAATCTAACAAGGGAAGTACCTCCGGTGTCTCAATAATTTTGGATCGGGACTATGTTCATTCGATAGAGCATAAAAAACTAGGATAAGGGTTTGTCGGCTTTAGATAGGAAACTTTCGGTTCACGAGAAAATTGAGGTCAAAACCCGTTTTCTTGCAAAAAATACAAAGTTTACCCAAAATTTTTTCTAACTTTAATTCATTTTTCGGGGTTTGTAGACCTAAAAAAATCATTGGAAATATTTAAAACGCTATATAATGTCTGCTAATAATGAGTAAGTTCAAAATAAGAGTAAATTGATGATTATTCCAATAAAAATCAGAAAAATCAAATAAATTCGTAGAAGCAGACACTATATAGCGTTCAAAATATTTCCACTGATTTTTTCAGGTCTGCAAACCCCGTAAAATGAATTGAAGTTAAAAAAAATTTTAGGTAAACTTTGTATTTTTTGCAAGAAAACGGGTTTTGACCTCAATTTTCTCGTGACCCGAAAGTTTCCTATCTAAAGCCGACAAACCCTTATCCTAGTTTTTTATGCTCTATCGAATGAACATAGTCCCGATCCAAAATTATTGAGACACCGGAGGTACTTCCCTTGTAAGTTACAATCATGAATAATTAAAGAAATTTGAGAAAAAATTGTAAAATAAGTAAATTAGCAATTGTGTAGCGATGTTTACACCGAGTGTGGACTAGACTGATTGCATTGCATGCTAAGTTTCACTGTCATTCTTACACGAATTTTTCTCTTCAGATATTTACTGTGATAATGGTCCGATAAGTTTTACAGACAAAAAATGATTCCCTAAAATCTAATTGATTACATTTTTAATTACATTAAAAAGTGAAAAGTCTTTGCTCTGAAAAGCAGTATTTAGAAGAAAACAGGACACACTTCGATCTCTGTCTTTAACTCCATTAAATTCTTTGCATAAAACTGACCATATCCCATACAATTTATTATTGATGACAACATTTTATTTTGACAATTACTTTTTAGCAAAATGATGCATAGGGAAAGTTGTTGATAGTTTACTCAGATTAGACTAACAATTGACTTTGCTTGAAAATAAGGACAAAAGTCTTCGCGAGAATTCAATCTCTCAGTTCAATTTTTTCTTACCTTCCTTGATGAAATTCATCATAAAGACAAGCACTTAATGTTTAAGGTTGATAGGGAAATTAATCAAACTAATTGGCTGTTCATGATGAATAATGATAAAAAATAACTTTTCACTTCTTAAACTTTCATTATGTAGTTGTAGTATATGGAAAGCAGGGTAACTAACATCTTCGAGCCGAACATGCCTGAATGCACACAATTTTATCAAAAGTAAGATGAACTAATGAAAACTTTTCTCACTAATCAAAATTACTTGATTAACTAATGAAGTAAAACATTGAACTCAATAAATGAAACATGCAGGAAGATGAAATGAAAAAAGAACAAAAAGTTTATCATAGATATATGCGCATAAATTTTAATAGATTGACTTATCCAAAAACTGCGACAAATTATAAAGTCGCAAGCTACAATTTTTCGATTATACCGTAGGACTTGAAAAAGGTTCATATCCAACCTATCAGAGTATTTTTAGCTAAAAAAGTCGAAACATTCCATATCACCTGGATAACATCCCTTGCAAGATGAAGTTTCATTTTACTACTTTTTAGTTTTCTCTTCTTACATATCTCATTTATTGAGTTCAATGTTTTCATTTGTAAATCAATTATTTTGATTAGTGAGAAAAGTTTTCTTTTCTGCATCTTACTATTAATGAACTTGTGTTTATTCATGCATGTGTATTGATTGACTAGAAGCTATGAAAAAATTCAAAAGTTGTATTTAAGTTCGAATTTTCTTTTTTTGAAACAATTTTATGTCTCAAGTTTCTTGCAAAGTTTGACTTTTCATTTACTTTTTGTTGCTTTTTATAACTTGAAACATGGACCAATCTGATGAAGGCTCAACTGAACATATTGTGAATACAATAATTCATCAATTCAGTGTATTTGCTTTTTGAGCTTATGAAGGCGTATAGTACGTTGGAATAAAACTTCTAGTGTCGAGAAAATCGACTCTAGTCTATAATGAAACTACACGAGACATTAATTCATTCGCGTGATTTCAAAAAATCGATATTGCTATTCGTGTAAATTTATGCATTTGGCTGTAAATTTTCATACGCATCAACTGAACATTCCTGATTGAACAGTCTTGGTGATAACTAAAGAAATGAAACGTTAAATTGTTTGAACTTTTTTGCTCTTTCAAGCTTCTTTTGTACGCAATAAGAGTTTGAATGCATAATTGAATAGTACAAAGAAAAGTTCATGTGTCAATGGTCGCATTATTTTCATCATTAACATGGTGAAACAACACAGGATTACATCGAAATCTATTAATAAATTAGTTTTACTCATAAAAACTGCACAGCTATTAGATTTGGGAGCAAATGAATGTAACTTTTTGTCTCAGATTATATCCCAACTTTATTGCTCTTTATCATTTATATTATTAATATATTCATTTGATTTTATCAAATTGATAAAATGACTTGACGAGAAATAATGAACAGCAAAAGAACAAAGGCAAACACTCAGAAAATGCGATAATATCAGTTTCGTTTCATGGGAAACTCAAGGAATTCAGATTAACATTATTTTTCCATTCTCTTTTTTCCCATTGTGATCAGAAGAGAGAAAAGCAAATAAACTGAAAAATGTTGAATCGATCAAGAAGTGAGTGATATTTTTATGCTCAAGGCACCAGAAAATTGAGTAAAGCAAATTACAACGAAATTAACCCTAAACTGTAGTCTTACTGTAAAGTTTTTTCAACTTCACAAAGAATTTTAATGTGAAAACGATAAATCTGATTTCGATTGAATTAACTTTATATTGTTTGGCAAATCTTAATAGACTTCATGCATTGATTGCCTTATTTATAAATACTTTTGTTTCTTGCCTCTTTTATTTCGACTTATGAGATACATTGACTGAGCGAAAAGTTTCGCATTGTTTAGTATCAAATGTTATTGTTCAAATATTATTACTGGAATTGGTTACTTGCGTCTGGCGTGTAAAGTCAATAGACATTAATGAGTTTTTGACAAATTTCAGGAAGAACAAATAGAAGCCATGAGAACTGAGAAATATTGAGAAAAGACGCGTGGAAAACATAAGTTATAGTAAATTTTTGCTCTTTTTCTGTCATCTTCTGCAAGAATGAAGAACAACAGTTTCTATTTACCTACTTTCTATTAATATCTTAAATGGTGAGATTTTTGTTTACTTAGGTTTTTTTGACAAAGAAATATTCGGTCAAATTTCGAGAAAATCTCTGTTATTTTGTCATTCGAACGCTGCAAGTTTACTTGGATTTTATATCTACATTATTACATTGAAATTGATAGTAACCAATGCTCGTCAACTTTGTTGCCTTTCGATACATAAAACTGACTTATAGTTTATACGAAACGATCATCTTGTAACTCTAAAGAACAAATGTTTTCTTGATTCATCTTTTTTTCCAGATCGATGATCTCAACGGGAATCCAAACTCTTGTTCAAAATGCCTTTCACTCTTATTCAGCCTCATTGAAAGATTTGTAAGTGAATCAACAATCGAAAATTTGCAAAACAAAAACATTCTTTTCTTGCATGCATTTAAAACAATCTCTTTGAACACAACGCTGAATATCTTTATACTTATTCGCATTATTTTCACAGGTATTTGGAGTCAGTAAAAAAGTTGCGTTGGATCGAACCAGGTGCTTTCAACAATCTTCCTTTTCTTAGAACAGTGTGAGTTAGAATTTAAATCCAAGATAATTTTACGAACTTAAAAGTTTATTTATACATAATTCATTGTAAATAGGTACATAAAACAAGCACCTTTGTTGAAGTTCATTCATGACGGAGTCTTCTTTGGAAGCTTCCCAAAATTTCAAGTTCTGTGAGTATTTCTCAAGTTAATGCTTTTTATAAATTTATAACCATTAGTTGATAAGTTTTATACAAAGTAAATTGGATTAGAGAACCGCTTATATTTGCTAAAGACGAAAAAACGCGTTTTGAAGTTTCGAAATTTCGATTGACTAAAGCAAATTATTTTCCCTTCACAGAAAAATCATTCAATCTGGACTGGAAGTTTTACCGTCAATGAAATACTTCGAAACTAAAGGAATAATTTCACTTTTGTAAGTATCATTATCTGTTAATCCCAGCCAATAGTCAAATGTTCAACTAGTCTGGAAGTTTATAATTTACACTAAAATCCGATAAAACTAATCCAATGTGTCAAATAAATAAATTAATCCGAGTTGCTCCCAATCCAACCCAACATTAACTTTACCAATGGACTTTCTCATCACAAACATCATCAATTGTCTAATTACAATAAACTTTATTCAACCCAATAGAGATTTTGACAGCAATAGATTAAAAAATATATCAAGTGCTTCCATTCGTGTTCGAGCAAGTAACATGTAAGTATTTTTAAATGATTAATCATTTCATGGAAACCAATTTTAACCATTTTTCATCATTTACTCTTTACGTTTCTTGCTCAGGATTTTAGATTACAATAGCATTGAAAAGGTTTACAGTTATGCATTTCTCGGTTCACACATTGCCAAGTTGTAAGTAACTAAGCAAATATCAAACTCTTTCATCGAAATTAATTCCTCAACTTAATTCTCCCGTTATGATATCAATTACATTAGAAGTCTCAAAGGAAATCGACGATTAGTAACAATTGACGATGAAGCTTTTGTTGGATTAAGAAATTTGGCCAAATTGTAAGCATTTATCACATTTAATCTCGATTCTCTCATTTACTCAATCAACTTACAACAAATGTACCAAAAACGATAATAACGATTATTCATTTCCTTTCTTTTTACTCTTTTCTGGAAACGAAAATGAAAAACAAGAGATTTATCAGAGACGAGTATAACTCGATTACCAACGAAAGGATTGGAGGAAGTTGAAGTGATCAAGATTGTTGATACTTTTACGCTCAAAGTATTTCCATCCGTTTTTAATTTTAAAAATTTAAAGGAAGCTCAACTCACTTATCCATACCATTGTTGTGCATTTAAATTTCCTGCAACTCACGATCCAAAAGAGTTTGCATCTCGAGTTTTTGAAGAGAGAAGGTAAAGACTTTTCATAATCATTATCATGAACAATGAGAGAAACTTGAACATGAAAAAATCAGACTTGCCATTATCATTTTCCTGTTCCATTATTTCATTGTGAATAACGAAGGAAAAATTGAGAGCAACTTTACAATTGACCTCAACGACCTCAACTGTCGAAGAAAGTTTTTTCCTGTTTTCCCCGAATCAGAATCTCTTTATTAACAATGTTGAGGTGAACAAGTCACAGTTGAATGCAGACTCAGAGATGATTATTTCAACTTGTCAGGAAACCTTTCAAAGTTTCATTTGCTGTTAATCTTGCCACTGAATCTCATTGAGTCAACTTTATTATTCATTGATTGCAAGCTTTACTTTTGTCCTCAAATCAACAAGTCTACTTGAACCAGATTAACCTTTAAACACTTTATGGAACCTCAATCAGATTCCATTGTGATTCTTTATTAATCCCTAAACTCACCATTTCTTGTATCGCTGAATAAATTTCTGGTGAATCCAATTACAAAGTCAATAATATGCATATGAGAAGAAAATTTTATCCTTTCATCTGAAATAGAATATTCCTTTTATCGAAAAATTTGCAGAAAAAAACAACATCGATAACAATTGATTGAGTTACTAATGAAACAATTTATTTTGCCCAACATCTCAATGACCATTCAAACCTATTCACTTGTTAAACATGATAACAGTCAATTTGATAAAAGTCAATAGCAAGTTGATACAAATGGTTGCAAGAAAAATTTCTTTTCTCGTTTCTCTTTACTCCTTCCAATTTAGTTATTCACTCCCAGTCAGGAAATGATAATTTTCTAATCTTGTATGATAATCATGATTTTTTCTAGTGTTTACTTCACCTTTTCAATCAACAAGAAACAGACAAAAAGCCATACAGATAGAAACTCAGAATTACAGGGTGTTATGGAAAAAACTACAAAAGTTAAAATCGTTGAGCAAAAAATTCGATTTCATCGTCAAATTTTTTTTCTATTCAGAAACATACAGAGATAGAAACAAAAAAAACTTTCAAAATGTTCACTTCACACATTTTTCAGCATTTTGAGTTTTTTTCGAAAACTTGCAAATTTTTTATTCTAAGAAATTTCTGAACAAAGGTCAGTTTTTTCGATGCTAACGGTTCAAACGCGACAAGAATCGCTCAAGCAACAAAACTAAAGATTGCACCGAGTTTGTGACAATTAGTAACACAAAGGAGGATTCACAAAGTTGATGACAAAAGTAAAACGAATGTTGTTGGAATAAAAAGATTCGGAGATTTTCGGTTTTTCATGAGACCCTGTGTAATATCAGTGAAAATGTTAAAGTACAATACGTTATTGTATTAAGCTGGGAGTAAGACAAAAGTAAATATTAAATAAACAAGTGGAACCCCCGATCATGACTGATCGTAATTTTTTCACTGAAATACAATAAATTCAATCCATATTTAAAGACTCAAATTCTTGATGAAAAACCATCGTCAATGAGAAAAACTAAAAAATAAAATAAAATCTGGTTATACAGCTGAACAGAATGAAATCTTTCTGTACAGTTAAGGTACCATATTTTTCACTTAACTCTTTACTCGAAAGACGGTTTTACTTATCCTTCTAAACCAACAATAAAGCATCAACCTGAATAACCAAGAAGTTTTTCCCCCAAAGTCAATAGTAAAAGATACGGATTCTGCATTTTTTCCCCTACCCTGTTTGAACGCTAATTTCTCAGTAACCTGAATTCCGAGAAAGTTCGAACTATTTTTTGCGATTGTAGTTTAATCATGGCTTTCATCCTATGTGAAAATTTTCTTTAGAACCCGTTTAGTTTGGCCACAATCTTCCCGCAAAAATTTCATAGTTTGACTTTATATATTGTATAGATAAGGAAAGACGAGAAGAGTTGGAATAATCAGAAAGCATAGAAAAGGAGTGAAGAAAAAAAAGTAAATTAGATCAAAATCTGTTAGCAGTTTTTCTTGTTATTTAGCCTTTAGTTTCGCTTATTTATATCTATCATGCTATATCAACCATGTGAAAATTCAGTTATCTGTTTATAAATTTTTTCTTCTTCTTTCGATTCAACCTTTCTTTTTCTTTTCATGTATACATTCCAACCCGAGGCTTGTTTCATCTGGTTATGAGAAACACTTTTTTTTCTTGTAAAAAAACTCATTGTGAGTTGTTGGTTGAAAATATCAACATTACTTGATTTATCATAACTTAAACTAACCTTTCTATCTATCTAAATGTTCAATTTGACTTATTAGTCATGATTTACCTTTAATCTAAATTCATTTCAATTTTTGACTTTTTTCACTTTTTCTCGTTTCATCTTCCAACTTCACCAATAATGACTCTGACTAACATTCAACACTTTATTCACTCATAGTTCATCATCATGAACTTAATGATTAATAATTAGTTTTGACCTGATAAGTCATTTCACTGATAACTATGAAAAACCCTTATTTTTACCTTTTCCCGTACATTTCACCACATGAAGCTACTGAATAAGGAACCTCTGATATTCCTTAATATTTCTACATATCGTCAGCTTCCTCTCGTCGAGACAAATCTGGTGGTAACATTTGTTTACCTGTAAGACTCATAGTTCATGAGAAAACCTCAGTTTCTCCATGAACTATGAACCCTCAAAAGTCCTAGGCAAAGTGCCCATTGTACCTCAACCATTCAACCTAATAACTTGATTCTTTCTTTAATCATTTACTATTCACCTAATCTAACTAACTACAACATCTAATTTCACCCCTTAAACCTAGAAGCTATTTTGACCCTTCAACTTGACCATTTTTACCTTCTTAAGCTATTTTCAACCTCTTGCTACAAACAAACACAAATCCCTAGAGGAACTCACATTCCTTGGTTTTCTTCCACTCATTCATCTTAACCGTCAAACAAACTCTTACTCACCGAGGACTCAAAAGGGCTGTCTTACCTGCCCTACTATAAATACCTAAAATGTCACCTTAACACTCATGGTGTATATTGTATGTCGATGGTGTACTTTTGTTGTCTGTTTAAACTTAACTAGTTTTGTATCTTTTTTGTATTGTCCTCTTGGTGTTAATTCACTTAAGTTGAATCTGTCAATTGCTTCTTCATCATCTACAACAATTTTTAATAAACTTGTTTAAATTGAATATTTTGACTTCATGTCTGTTTGGTCTGAATATTGACCGTGTGTTTTGTTTTATTTGATTCATCTCAACCTTCTTGAATTCACCATCATAACCAACAGGTTATGGGCCCAGTCACGCTTTGCTGACTTGTGTTTGTTTTGTCATCAGTATTTGATACTAAATCTTTAAACCTGAATATTGGCTATTGTGTCCACTAGTTAAACATCATCCTTTTGAATAATCATCACCGACAACACCATCATGATTCCCAACGAAATCCAAGTGATTAAATTGACCAAGACAAATTATTATGTTTGGAAAAGGTCCATCGAAACCATCTGTAAATCCAAAGGAATACTTCAAATTCTTGACGGTTCATCATCACGTCCATCTGAATATAATGCTGATGAGATTCTTACTCTCACTCAACGTGACATCACCAGAAGAAACACCGAAATCAATGAATGGGATGTCAAAGATTCCACCGCTCAACAACTAATCATGCTTAGCATTGATTCCGAAGATGTAAGTCTAACAAGTTTATTTATTAATGCTACCACTGCTCATGAAATGTTTACCAATATTATTAATTTTAGAGAAGAGCGAACTAAACAAAGCTCATTCAGTGTCAAGAGAAAAATCATTGAAGTAAAGTTCACTTCGGCTCATACAGTTGCTAGTTATTTCTCCGAACTTGAGACTGCTATTAAGTTAAATAAAGATCGTAAAATTGATGTTGATGAAGAAAATCTTGTAATGAAAGTTTTAGATGATTTACCGATTATTTATGAAAATTTCCGACAAAATATTGAAATGAGAATAGATACAGGTGATTCAATTACGCTAGCTCAGTTGAAAGCTAATCTCTTGCGAACAGAGAAACGTATAAATGAAGGTAACCCAAGTAAGAAAGGTGAAGCCTTGTTAGTTAAACCTGCGAATAAAATTCATTATAATGTGAAAGATAAATTTTGTTTCAATTGTGGTCTTAAAGGACACCTGAAGAATGATTGTAGAAGAAGAGCAAACAACAACAATAATTTCAATAGAAATAACAATCACTACAATCAAAGAAACAATCTGAATTCTCAATCAAATAACTTCAGAAATAATTCAAACAGATGCACCAATCAAAACAGAAGTAACAACTATTCCAATAACAACAACAACTCTAACAGACATAATTACTCGAGCAATAACAACAATAATTTCAGAGGAAATAGAAACTTTCAGCGTCCTAACAATGTAAACTTACCCAGCAATAGAAATAATTATTCAAACAGAAATAACAATCAACAAGCTAATGTAGCTTTAAATAACAATGAAAATGAAATGAGTAACGAACATGATATTGCTTATACAGCACATGAAAATAGATCAAATGAGTTAGTTTGGTATTGGGACTCAGGTTGCTCTTATCACTGTACCAGTGACATTAATAGTTTTAGTGAATTTGTTGAATTGGAAGAGCCAATACCTTTGACTATTGGAGATGGGAATAAAATTACTGGTATAGCTAAAGGTACAGTATTAGCTGAATGTTTTGATGGTGAAAAATGGAATAAGTGTAAACTTGAAAATGTATTGTTTACTCCTCGACTTGGTAAATTCAATTTGTTTTCATGGATGCAAGCAATGAAAAAAGGTTACAAGTTATTTTCCTCATTAGAAGGAACAGAAATTAGTGATAGTAAGTCGGGTAGAGTATTGATGACTTGTAGACCAGTTGGTAATTCATTCGTTTTAAATTTGAAGACACGAAAAGATGAAAATAGTTTTGCTCTAGTTGTTAGAGATGCTTCATTAAGCGAGTGGCATAAACGACTTGCCCATGTTAATGTCCATAAAATCATTGAAATGTCCAAAGAAGGTTTGTTACCTAAAATTAAGATTGATTGTGACCCTAATAAATTTGTTTGTGATGGATGTATGAAAGGTAAAATGTGTTCAAAGTCATTCAAGACTGCTGTACCTAGAGGAGTAAAGGTTGGTGAAGCTTTTCATTGCGATCTAGTTGGTCCAATGGAAGTTTCATCAATTAGAGGTTCAAATTATGCATTAGTAATAAAAGATGAATTCAGTTCCTTTCGTTCAATTTACTTCATTACCCACAAATCAGACACTTTTGCAAAAATTGATGAACATATTAAGGAGACTGAAAAGGTTACCGGTTCGAAGGTGAAGATAATGAGATCCGATAATGGATTAGAGTTTATTAATAGTAGAGTTGAAACGATTTTGAAAAACAATGTTATTACTCACGAGTTGAGTTGTCCTTATACTCCTCAACAAAATGGACTGATTGAGAGAGAGAATCGGTCGATTGCTGAATTAGCTCGATCGATGTTGTTCGCGAGTAAATTACCTAAAAGACTGTGGGCCGAAGCAATGAACACTGCTGTCTATGTAATGAATTTAGTAATTAACAAAAAACATAAAAGTGTAACACCATATGAGCTCTGGTACAATAAAAAACCTTGTTACGACCATCTTCGCGTTTTTGGTTGTGTTGTTTACGTCAAAATACCTGATCAACAAAGAAAGAAGTGGGATGCAAAGTCCAAGAAGTGTATATTTATCGGTTACACCGAAACAACTAAAAACTATCGTGTTTACGATCCATTTACAAACAAAATTAGTGTAACTTGTAATGTCAAGTTTTCCGAAAATGATGACAATGGAGAAGCTACAATTGATAGTGTTAATAATGACGAAGTTGTTAACTTAAGAAAATTATGTGGAGTCAATGATGAAGATATAAATGAAGATGATAATGACTCTGATAGTGATGAGACTATCATTTACGACCCACTTGATGAGGATGAACTGACCAACCTAAATTTAAAAGGAAATTCATTTGTTAACATGTGTCTTGCTTCAATTTCTGACAATATATTGGAACCATTAAGTTATGATGAAGCGATGAGTTCAGCAGACTCAGTTAATTGGTTAAACGCAATGAAAGATGAAATGAAATCTTTAAATGACAACAATGTTTATGATTTAGTTGAACTTCCGAAAGGTAAACGAGTAATTTCATGTCGTTGGGTTTACCGAATCAAACGTAAAAGTGATGGAACTATTGAGAGATTTAAAGCTAGATTGGTAGCTAAAGGTTACTCTCAAAAATATGGAGTCGACTATTTTGAGACTTACAGTCCAGTCGCTCGTTACGACTCGATAAGAGCAATACTTTCAATTGCTGCTGCTAACAAAATGTATTTATTACAGTTCGACGTTAAAACTGCATTTCTTTATGGTGATCTCTATGAAGAGATTTATATGCAGCAACCAGTTGGATTTGACGATAAAAGTGGTAAAGTGTTCAAATTAAAGAAAGGCTTGTATGGCCTAAAACAAGCTCCACGTCAGTGGAATGCAAAAATTGTTGAGTTCTTCTCAAACCATAAATTTACTCAATGCAAAGCTGATCAATGTATTTTCGTCAATAATCAAAATTCCTTAACTATTTGTGTCATTTATGTTGACGATGGACTTGTTGTTAGTACTAACAAAAGTGAACTTGAAAAATTAACTAATTCCTTGTCAAAAGCTTTCGATATGAAGTTCCAATCTCCTCAAGTTTTTGTAGGTATGGAGATTATCCAGAGTCCAGATCGTTCATCAATTAAAATCAAGCAATCAGCTTACATTAAATCATTGCTGAAACGTTTCCACATGGAAAATTGCAAACCAATTGGTTCTCCTGGCGATCCTAACATTAAACTGATTGCAACTAATGATCCTCCTGATGCATCAATTCCATACCAAGAAGCCGTTGGTGCATTATTGTACCTGTCCATCATCTCTCGCCCTGACATTTCCTTTCAGGTCAACAAAGCGAGTCAATTTAATTCGTGTTATAATGACATTCATTGGGGAGCAATCAAGAAAATCTTCCGCTACCTTAAAGGTACAATTGATCATGGCATCATCTACAATTATCCGAATCCTGACCTCCAATTACATGGTTATTGTGATGCTGACTTTGGTGGTGATCTCGTTAAAAGAAAGTCAACAAATGGTTTCACTGTGACACTTGGAGATTCACCAGTTTCTTGGGCTTCGAGACTCCAGAAAAGTGTTGCCCTATCAACTACCGAAGCTGAATACGTTTCAATTAGTGAATGTACTAAAGATGTTTTGTGGTACATTCAACTACTAACCGAATTACATGTACATTTGACCCCTCCAATCACAATCTACAGCGACAATCAAGGTGCAATCCTTTTATCCAAAAATAGTTGTTTACCGAAACTTACTAAGCATATTGATATGCGTTTTCATTTTATACGTGATCATCAAGAAAATGGTAAAATAAGAATTGAGTATATTCCAACAACTAAACAACCAGCCGATATGTTAACCAAATCGTTAACACCAGCAAATTTAAGCAAATGTATCAATTTGCTCAACATTAGTTAATTGTGTTTGTTCCTAGCAAGGGAGGCTGTTGGTTGAAAATATCAACATTACTTGATTTATCATAACTTAAACTAACCTTTCTATCTATCTAAATGTTCAATTTGACTTATTAGTCATGATTTACCTTTAATCTAAATTCATTTCAATTTTTGACTTTTTTCACTTTTTCTCGTTTCATCTTCCAACTTCACCAATAATGACTCTGACTAACATTCAACACTTTATTCACTCATAGTTCATCATCATGAACTTAATGATTAATAATTAGTTTTGACCTGATAAGTCATTTCACTGATAACTATGAAAAACCCTTATTTTTACCTTTTCCCGTACATTTCACCACATGAAGCTACTGAATAAGGAACCTCTGATATTCCTTAATATTTCTACATATCGTCAGCTTCCTCTCGTCGAGACAAATCTGGTGGTAACATTTGTTTACCTGTAAGACTCATAGTTCATGAGAAAACCTCAGTTTCTCCATGAACTATGAACCCTCAAAAGTCCTAGGCAAAGTGCCCATTGTACCTCAACCATTCAACCTAATAACTTGATTCTTTCTTTAATCATTTACTATTCACCTAATCTAACTAACTACAACATCTAATTTCACCCCTTAAACCTAGAAGCTATTTTGACCCTTCAACTTGACCATTTTTACCTTCTTAAGCTATTTTCAACCTCTTGCTACAAACAAACACAAATCCCTAGAGGAACTCACATTCCTTGGTTTTCTTCCACTCATTCATCTTAACCGTCAAACAAACTCTTACTCACCGAGGACTCAAAAGGGCTGTCTTACCTGCCCTACTATAAATACCTAAAATGTCACCTTAACACTCATGGTGTATATTGTATGTCGATGGTGTACTTTTGTTGTCTGTTTAAACTTAACTAGTTTTGTATCTTTTTTGTATTGTCCTCTTGGTGTTAATTCACTTAAGTTGAATCTGTCAATTGCTTCTTCATCATCTACAACAATTTTTAATAAACTTGTTTAAATTGAATATTTTGACTTCATGTCTGTTTGGTCTGAATATTGACCGTGTGTTTTGTTTTATTTGATTCATCTCAACCTTCTTGAATTCACCATCATAACCAACATGAGTTTATCTTGCCTCTTTGAAGAAGAAAGATTTTTTTGCTTTTCTATTCTTTTTTTTACCCTGTGAACAGAGGAAAAGGTGAACTTTTCTGTCAACAAGCGAAAAGTAAACAGATGAAATTTGATAATGATCAGATCAAGTACGGTGAAATTTTATTCAATTTGAGATGAGAAAAGATGCCATGATTGTTACGAATTCAAACATTGGTGACATTCAGAAAATCGATGGAAAGAAAGGAAAGAAAAAAATTCAGAGTAAACCTATTTTTTTAGACAAGTACATTTATACTATTTTTGGCTTGTTTTGCCAGTCAAAATCCATTACAGTGTTGATCTAATTTCAAGAGTGAACAAAACGAAACTGGAAAAAACTTTTTATTTCATTTTTTCGCTGTTTAAATAATTGAACTTTAACAAGTTTATTTATATTTGTATTATTTATATTAGTTATTACTTGTTGTTTCTGTTATCTTTTTGTGTCTTTTTGTTCAACTTTGGTGTTTACTTTGGCGCAATAATATTAAACTTACATTTCGCTCAATTTATCGTTTAATATTGAAAAGGCCGCAAGGGATTCATTTATAGACTTTGCTTTTCGCTTCAAATGTGTAAAGGAAGAAGTTTTTCTCATTTCTCCCTTTCATCTTTTCCATCTTATGTGACAATTAAATGCTCGTCGACAGTCTAACTAAAAATGTACTTTTCTATTCTGTGAAAAACAGGAATTGCCGCCAAGGGACGTCTGGTTCCACAGTTTTATCAACACCATCATCAACAACAACTGTAGCAACAACTTCAACAACTTTATTGACGAGTTTACATTCATTGGTAAGCCGATCTACTTCACCATTTACAGATGATTCATTTGATGAAAGAAACCAAGAGAATGTCTTCAATGATAATTATCATGAAAAACAGGTAAAATGTCGATTATTTTCAGACTTCAAGTTGAATGCAAAGACTAGTGAAAAGTATTGACTTCTTTACATGAACCAAAGTTATCAAGTGTTTACCGCAATGATGCATCAATAGGTTTCGAAGTGAAAAATACTTTGATTTTTAATTCCTTTGCAATTGAAATGACTGTTGAAAGTTTTTAAAAAAACAAATACTTCAACAGGTTTCCATGAAATATACCGAAAATTTTGTTCGCTTGCAAGAAATTTCAAAGAGTCAATTGAAGTAAGTCTTGAGGCTATTCACCTAAAGCTATTTACAAATTATTCAAACTTAAAACACTTGAAGAATATGAACTTCTAGCGAAACAAAAAAAACTATTCAAGCGATGAAATATTCCAAGAAAAATTTTCTATTGAAATTGTTCAATTGCATTATTAATGACGAAAACTTGAGATTTGCAAGATTGATCAATCGATGATTCACTTATTCATATTTCATGCTTTGGTATTCAAAATAAGTAGAAACACGAGTTGTCAGTTGATCATTATTGCCAAGTAATGAGACTAAATCAAATCAGAAGAAACCTTTGAAATGGAACGGTGAAATTCGAAGCTTCAGAATTTAGAGAAGCAATATTTGATGAAAATAAATGATTTGAATTTTCCACCAAACTCAGTGAGCGTGAATATTAAGTATAAATTTATTCATTGAAATGTCAATGGCATTCAATGGTGAAAGAATCTTATGTTTACCTGTTAAATGTATTCGAACCTTTTAAGGTCGTTTCCGCTCATTTCCCCCATGACATTGTAATTTGGTTTGTATTTTCTTCCTTTTCTCCTTTTGTCTCCATCCAAGAATTTGATCAACAATTATGAACTTAAATCCAATGGTGATCTGATTGGTTCTTACTGGAAGTTTATTGGTGATGGAATAAAACATTATACTCGACGATTAAATTCACTGCTAAGTGATAACAATTTTATTGGATCAATAAATTCCCAAAAGAGTATCGAGTCTTCCTCTTTGCTTTTCAGTGATAATATTATTAGTGAGGATGAACAGGATGAGAATGAGGATAATAATAATGAAAATAATGAAAAGGATAAAATTGATGATGATAATGGTGCAAGAGATAAGATGAGGAGAGAAATGAAAAATCATTTAGACGATAGCGTACGGTTCAATAGTTCATCCATCATCAACTCTAACAGTTTACCTAATGGTGAATATATTACAACAACCTTAAGCCCTTTAATGGATCAAAGTATTTTTGGTAAACTGATTGTCAGTCCATCAGATGCAATCGATCAAAAGGTGAACTCTTCATCCATCGACATTTTGGCTGGCGCTCTTAACCCACAATCACCGGGTTTCGGGCAAGTTCAACCATCCATCTTTGAGCTGCCCAATGAACAACTAAAGCACAGTGAAGGTGATTTCATTGGACAGTTTCATCCAACAGCGGCCTCTGTTTTACCAGAGAAACCAATTCATGTGAGTTGAGAGAAAATTTTTCAAATGGAAGAGTTTTTCGAGATTTTGATCGACAATTTGTATATCTTTGTAAAGGCCTTTTGTGGTGAATACGCTCAAATATTTCGTGATATAAAATGTTCACCTGAACCTGATGCATTCAATCCTTGTGAAGATGTTATGGGAAATTTAATGCTTCGCATTGCCGATTGGATCATATCCATTGCTGCCGTTTTAGGCAACTTGGCTGTTATGGTTGTCCTCATGTCGGGAAGGTTTAAAATGAATGTTTCCAAGTTTCTCATGTGCAACTTGGCGTTTGCCGATTTCTGTATGGGCATCTATCTGCTTATAATAGCAATCATTGACATTCACACGGTTGGAGTTTACTTCAACTATGCCATTGACTGGCAACACGGTAAGATTCATATTGACTCAATTTTTTGTCGTTTTTTTCAATCATGAAGAGTGTGAGACATTAAGACATAATATTACATTAGGAACTGAAACTTGCAAATTAGATGGAGAACTTGAAATTGTATAAAAATGTTTTCCGAAAGTGGAAAATTCTTTAACGCAACTTTTCAAAAACTTTTTCTAAAACTTTTACTATTTTGAGAGAAACTTGCCAAAGTTCGATTTACATTGTCAAAGTTATCGCCGGTAAGATGACTGTTGTTGGAAAACTTTGAGAACAAAAAGTCTCAAAAGATTCAACAAAGTAGTGAAGTCATTAAACAATTTCCTGCGAAGTATGAGACTGGCCATGTTAATTGCATTACTGTTGAAACTTGGATTGATTTCAAAACTCAAAATGACTTGAAATATTGTTTTTTGAAAACACTTTCAATGAAAATTTTCAGTTTTTTACACAAAATCGAAAAAAATGTTCAAACTTTGGCTTCAATTATCAAAACTATTAAGTTATGTCAACTTTGTTTCTAAAATCGATGCAAAATATTCTCATGAAAACAAGTTATTAATAGTTATTTAACTCACTTTATGGATTTATCCATAAAGTTGTAATCCAAGAAACGAAACACTCCATTCATCATTTTGATTAATTCATCAACAGCAAACTTTACTAAAAGAATGCTTGTTATAAATTCTGAATAGTTGATGATTATGAAATTGAACTTTTCTCCAAACGAAGCATTGAAATTTATTAAAAATTGAACATTCTTTATATAATCCTGGACTGATTGACAAGCAAGCTCACCTCGCACTTTAATCTAAGTAAACATAGTTGGCAAGGTAAATACAGTTGAACCCTTTTGCCATGCTTGATTATGCATGACAGCCTTTGAACAAGAAATTTTCGGTGTAAATAAAGATGGAATAGTTGAAGAGGAAAGCTGCCTTTTAATGAATAAAGACTGTAAAGCGAGCTACATTTCAGTTCAACTCTGAATGATTGACTTTTTGATTAAAGAGTGAAACCAAAGCTTAACCCAGACCTTTCATTGTCTAGGATTGGGTTGCATGATAACTGGCTTTATAACCGTGTTTGCCAGTGAACTCTCAATCATTACCCTGACTGTGATAACATTGGAACGTTGGTATGCGATAACGCACGCAATTCACTTACACCGTCGCCTCAAGTTGAACCTCGCAGTTAAGACAATGATCGGTGGTTGGATTTACTCGCTGTTGATGGCGTCCCTTCCCTTGTTTGGCATCTCGGGATATTCAAAGACAAGCATCTGTCTTCCAATGGAAAACAAAGACACAGTCGATATCATTTACTTGATTACACTTCTCTCATTCAACGCTTTGGCCTTTCTTTTAATAACTGCTTGTTATGGCAAAGTAAGTGGAAAAATATTTTCTCATTTCCCTTTGAAGCAACAGAGAAAATTCAGTTTTCTAATTTACTTAGGGCCATGGAAAGAAAATTAATTACAAATGATTGCATATTAATTGCAACAACTAAATATTGAATCGAACCATGAAATGATCAAAGTTTGCAATTTTTTCCGTTTCCTTTTTGTTTACCCAAAACTCAAGTAAAGACTTTGATTGCTTCCAGCTAATGAATAATTCAGATTGTCATTCACTTTCATTTACTTCAATTATTACGGAAAGCAATGGAAAGCAATATAAACTGAGAAAATTGTAAATAATCTTCACTTGATGAGAAACTTTCATTTTATTATTAGCCTCTCGAGTCGAGAGTTGCATTTTCATTGAAAAATTGATTGAAAATGTGACATCACTAGTCGACATTTCAAAATTTTAAGTCTCTTGATATGGAATTATTTTCATTTGAAAAGTTTCCAATGAAATTTTGTAATAAATAATTCATTTACAGTCGAGATTTGATCAGTTGATCTTTTCGTTTCTCAACAAATTTCCATTCGAGTTATGATTATTTTTCATTTCATCTACAGATGTATCATGCAGTTGCAAGTCAACATGGAAGGATAACGGCAAACGATCAAACAATAGCCAAAAGAATGGCTCTTTTGGCATTAACCGATTTTGCCTGTTGGGCACCGATTGCGTTCTTTGGTCTAACTGCTGTCGCTGGTTATCCCTTGATCAACCTTACCAACTCGAAAATTTTACTAGTCTTTTTTTATCCTCTCAACTCGTGTGCCAATCCTTTTCTTTATGCAATTTTGACCAAACAATATCGAAGAGACTTTTTCATTCTCATCTCAAGGTATGGTCTGTGTAGAGGAAGTGCTGCCAGGTACAAGGGAACCTCAAATAACTGTAAACATCGTCGTAAAGGATCGTGTAAAAAAGGTAAAGCACGTTAACAATAAAACCTCGTCTTGTGTAAATCCTTTTGTTGCTTCTCAAAGCCAATCTTTACGTTCTTTTCATTTCATCTTTTGTCCTTTTTTTTGCAGCAACAGCAATAATTTCATTTCTTGTGATTCTGTTTACTTATAGTCATGGTTATCCTTTTAGTTGGATTAGCTATTCAATGAGCATTCACTTCTAGTTGACTGACTTTGTTGACCTTACATTATGTTGATACAAATCCGAGCCAAATTAAGTGCAATGTTTGTTACATTTTCATCAGCATTCAATATCTATCTTTAATTAATACCTTGCATGTTCATGTTGGTAGTAATTTTTTTCCTTTTTTTCGATTACTTCTTGCTTGGAACTTTGGATTTATTTTGTGTTGTGAATGTGAAACTGAATTTTGTTTTGATTGAAGTCAATTTCGTTTAATTACAAATTTAATTCTAATTTAGTCTAACTTTTTTTCTTGCAAATTGTTCACAATATCAAGGAAGATTTTGCCAAGTAGCCTATGATTGTCGAACTGATAGACACAAGTGTAAACGATGTCGCCATTGTCTCCATTCAAATACTTCTTCGGAGGAAAACTCGTCTCGATCCGTCATCTATTCGGCAATTGAACTTTATCCAGATAGCAGTGTAAGTGGGGATTCGGTGCATGAAGTTTTGAAGATGGGTCACGTTATTTGTGATGACAAACAGCAAAGTTGTTCACATCATCATCACCACTACCATCACCATTACCATCACCACAAGTCCAACAAGGAGAGTAAAAAGTTTCCCAATCACCGTCCAATAAGCCAAACAACAATAGTAAGTTGCCCTAATCGTTCTCTAACCAAAGTTTTCGACTTTTCCATATTAGCTTTCAAAATCTCGAAAAATAACTTGTTAAAAATAACAAACAACAAAATGAAGATCATGATTCGAAAACTATTCAAACTTATCGATAAACTCAATAAAAAATGTTTCGATGTAAAGTTTCAATGAGCAATCAAAATGTATTAGGCAAAAGACTTATTCAAATACCTAACATGAATAACCCAATTTAGAAGAAAATGGACCAAAAGTTTATGAAGTTCAGTCCTGTTCGATTGTCCAATATTTAGCATTGTTGGTAACTCCATCTCTAGTTAGTGTGTCATGCATGAAATGAACCGATTTTCCAGAATTCATTTTCTTATCACGAGAAGCTTAACAAAACTGAAACATTATTATTGAGTTTTCATTGAGTTGAAGTCGAAAATATTTTGAACTTAAGGCAAAGTCTTAGAGGGTTACCAAGAAATAGCGTTGTCTTTGTTGTTAGTCAAGGCTACGGTTCGAAATGTTGTGCCAAACTTTTGATTAAAAACGTTTTATTGTTGCAGATTTATTCAGATGACGAGAGCAATTCATCAATCTCATTAAAGAAAAGTCCATTGATCATTAAAAATGGCAAGGAATTGCGACGCCTTCCAAGCTCCGAACGTGATGAAGTACTGAGAAAAATGTTGGGTGATTCGACTCTTGCACCAACAACTGCGGGTAAAAATGTTGTCCCAAGCGTTTGGACAACATCAAATTCTTGTACAAGCATCCACAAGAGCCATAAAAATTGCACCTCATGGATCCAGCGAGACAGTTCATCGGGTGAAAAAAGTTCTGCTGGAAACAACAATTCTTCAAGCAATGGAACAGCCATTGAAATTATCAAGCGTGAAAAGAGATGTTATTGTTGTAAACATTGTAAACGGATTCCCATTGAAAATGGTAGCTTTGTGTTGAGCAGTCATTCGAATAGCGCAGCTGATGACACTGAAATTTGACAATCTATTAATCCAACATGAAAATCATCTCAAGTTACAAAATAAAAATTTTGTTTCTCTTTTTAATCTCATCTTTCTATCGACATTTTCCTCATAAACTGTTTAGAACCTGGGAATTCGGAAACTAAATCTGTTCACAAGTCAATTGGCATTCTTTTACTCAGACTTTTACTATTTATAAAACTATTGATCGATGTTAATCGTTTCATCCAAAAACTGATTAAACTTTTTTTTCGTGAAAATAGACTTTAATTGTATCAAATCGATACTTGTACTCAAATTTGATATCAAAAACATGTTCGAAGGTTTTGCGATCCTTCAGTGTTCGAAGTAAATTGGATCGTTAATTAACTTGAAAAAAATCAACTTTTATTATGAATTATTATCGTTATTGTCATTCGAACCATTATTATTATTACAATATCAACTTTGCTTATAAAGCAAATAAATAGTAATTTTGCTGGATTAAAGCTTTTAATTTTTAGATTACTTTTAATTAGTTGAAACAAACTAATTTAATTTGGTCTCTTCTTTTACAAATTAAAGGGTTAAAGTTGATTTTAAATGTTGCTTGAAGTTAATCTTGTGAGGCTTTTTACGGTAAACAAAATTGCACAGTTTTTAGTTATTGTTGACGTTATATCTTTATATTGTCTCATTGGTCGTAAGTTTCAAGTTTTGAAATTCAAAAAACTCTAATTTTCGGTCATTTTGTTGCTCTCTTGATATAATGTCCATGTAAAGTGGTGAAGTTCAAAGATGAGTTTTCTTGTCGATTTTAGTATATTTAGCGAATTGAGTAAATTTGCAAAATTCTCCAAAAGTCGATTAAAATGGATTCACAATTCCGATTCCGGGCTCATGGATAAACTGATTCCATCCGTTGCTTGTTTTCTAGCATTGCGTTCCCTTTGAATTGCATCTGGAGCGAAAGTAAAAAGTCAAAATTAGAAAATTATTAAAGTAGTTTCAAATGTTTATAAAATGAAATTCTGATAATTGCTGAAACCTTTGTTGATTCGCCACTTGAAATCATTCACCAAAATTTTATATTGACTTTTTACTCAACTTTTGTTTTGAGTTCTTTCACAGGATTTAACTTACTAAGTAAGTGATAAAACAGAAATGGTCAATATCAGTCAATTCGAGTTCATTTGTTCGCTGTAATGCGATTTTTTGGAAAACTTGATCACAATTTAAAATAATATTACGATATACGATATATAATATATACGGTTTCTATGTCAATTATATGTGACTCAAAATTCGATCTTCTAAAAAAATGTTCTTTCTTTCAATAGTCTTTTATTGCCGTTATTGTGATTTGAAAAGATATTCATTTTCTGTTTCAATTTGCGTTCTGTTCACTATTGGCTTTACTCTACTCTCAGTACAGATACTACTGCCATCTGTTGACTTCAAGTGTTAAATAATTTATCGAGTTCTGATTAGAATTGGTTCTTACCGATTGCCGCCCTTTCTTGCCACCTTTTACGATTATCATCTAAGTTTTCAGCCCAAGGACGTTTTAATCGTCCACCTTCAATTTTGCAGTTACCAAATGATGAACAGTGTGAGAAACGTGGTGAAGCCGGTGCACTGGCAACAGGCCTGGAAAAACGAGAAAAAAACGAAACCTTGAAACATGATATTCGAAAATTGTTGATTTTATGAAACCGTGAGACGCATGAACTACTAACTATTAGTATTATTTAGACTTTTCTCATCAAGATAAAAGACTATGACTCGTCCATCAGTGATCTATGATGTAACAAAATCCATCGAGTTATTTCCACGAGAAAAGAGCTCAAGTAATCTAATGAGTTATGACTATTATTACAGTCTCTTGTCTGACTCAATTTCATTAATTAACATTTCATAGTCGGAGTTGAACTGAATACAAAGCCATAGACACTTAAACATCGAACACGAAAAATGCAAAATGTTGATTGAAACCTTGATTTGGACAATAAACACTTTTCTCGTTTTATATTAAAGAGCCAAAACTGGCTTAACTCGAACCTTAACCTCAACCAATCGAAAACAATTTAAACCCTTTTCTTGAACAATACCTTGAGTTGAGAGATGCATCAGCTGAATCAATTGACAAACCGCTTCGCTTATTCTTATAAGTAGACAAAGATTTAGGTCGAGATGCGCTATCTGGCAGTCTTTCCTCTAAACTTTCCTCTGAACTTCCAGATGAATGTCTACATCCTTCCATCTGTTGATATATTTTATCCAAAAGGTCACCACAAACCTCCAAACTCGGTGCAACAATAAAATCAATGAAACCTGGGAAGTAAAAAAATAAGTAAAACATGAAAACAAGAATGAATAAAATTCAAACACAGAAAAAGCACAAAACAACTCAAGAGAAAAGTAAATTGCAAAGTATCATATTATAATCATTATTGACATCAAATTACAGAGTAAAAATGAATTTTTCTTCTTACCTATTTGTGATTCAGCAACCAGGGTTGTATTACGATCGCATAAAGGTGAATAAGGCAAACCAAGTTCTCTCTCTTTATCGCCCTAAATTGAATAAACAATTTAATGATTAAACATTCATTCAACAACAAAAAGTAGACGAAATTTGAAAAATAAAAAGAGCGAAAAAAAGATTTCTCCATATTCATGATTCACCTCAAGGGTAACGAATCTGTCGATCAACTTTCATGTAAATGTTTCAAAGAAACATTTCGTTGTCAAGTTGCCATCATTTCACAATATTAATGCACTTTGCTCTTCAATTGAATTTCACTTTTTCACCATTTTCGTCCCATCAAGATATTAATGAAATTGGATTGAGCTGAAAACTTCATTGACAGCTAAATCTATTTTTTTCGTTGCTTCATTTGAAATTCTTTTCTTCTTTTTCTTCTCTCTTCCTTTTCATTTCCATCTTTACTCCATTTTCCCCTCTTGGACTAAACGGATAAAGGTAAAAGTTCAATTGATTTTTCTTTTCAACATTCATCATTTTTATTTCGCTCTCCTTCAATGACATGGTAAAATGTTGGCTAAATCATCTTTCATTGTAATGAACAAGTAAAGATGATGAAGACCTTGCAGGCAAGCTTCAATTTTTGGTCATGTTTTTGGGTGGAAAAGAGACATTCCAGTCATCAATTTATCGTTATCTTTACGTCGCAGTTTCCTTACCTGACGGAAAAATTCTTCCAATAAAAGTTCAGTCCATTTTCGATGAATATCCCATTGTTTACTTGGATGGCTTATGTCACAACAATGTAAAACCAAGGAGAGAGCCTTTGATTTATCGACAGTAAATTCATTGGAATTGGTTAAAAGACTTTTCATTGTTTTAATTTGTTGAAAATGTGAAGACATGTCAGTTGCTAAAACCATATCAATAACTAAAGTACGTAATTCCCTTTATTGATATAAAAAGAAAGAAAAAATTTTTTTTTAGAAAAATAGTTTGTTTCATCGTCAATAGGTGGCACTAGTGTACAGAAAAAAAGAGTTTTCTTGGCATACAGTTTCTTCCAATGAGTAGAAATAAAATTTGCTCAGATTTATCCAATTAAGTGAGGAATTTTTCGAACAATATTTATAAATAGTTTTCCAGTTTCATTTATTTATAAAATCACAGCAAGAATAAGATTGAGTAAATTCACTTCAAATTGGAATCAAACTCAACTTTGACATTTATTGATGTCGATTTCGATGAACCATTGAAGTTGCTATTAATAAAATTGATAATAATAGATAATTGATTCATGGTGGTTTTGATGGAATGAAAACAATAAGTAATTTCTGTGGCCTTTAGAGACTTTTGGTCTTGGCAACATTTTGTTTACTCAATTTAATGTTCATCTTGAATATTTTCTGGTCTTTTAGGTTTGCGTGAAAAAATTAAAACTGGAAATTTTCGTTTTCCAAATAAAATTTTGTCCAAATGTTGGAAATAAGAAACTGTTTATTCTGCAGAAATCGACAGTCAAGAGTCAGGATTGACATTCATCAGCTTGTATCTTTTTGTGGTGAATTATTGCCAACCCATTGAGCTATCATAAAGTAAAAAAGACTCGACTTACCTGTACTCTTCTTTATTTAAATTTACAAGTATATTACAATCAGATTCCTTCAAAATACGAAAAGCAGCAGAAACGTGAAAATTTTCTAGAACTGCTCTATCATTATATAACAGCGCAGTTTCAGACCTGGTTAAAGAAGAAAAAATTGTGAATAATTCCATTGAAACAAGTTCGAATTATTTTCAAAATGAATCGGTGAAACATTCAGAGCAATACACAACAGATTTAGAAACTAAATTAACTATCGATAATGTGTTCGCGTTTCCACTGGAAAATCTCACGATTTAGTTTTTAAATGCGCTTCCAATCAATCGACCATCTTAATAAATGACCAATTTATTTTGAAAATTATTCAATCAAAAAATAAGAAAAAAATGAGTCGAAAACTTACTCAGACATAACATGGAAATTATTAGTTGTTCCTGTATGCTGAAAGTCGTGAATTATCGCAGCCAGTAGAGTTGCAAATATTTCGAGATCAGTTAACCAATTCTGAAAAGGTGAACAAAAGGCGAGGAGGAAAAGAATAAAGAGATAAAACAAAAGTCATTTACCATTGAATTGATGAAGAAAAGACAAAAGAACGAAAACAATTGTTGGAAACATTTGATTAAATGTTATCTTTTCTAGTCAACTTATTCACTTTTACCATCAAAATGTGACCAATTATTTATTCAAGCTCAACTGGGAGTTTATTTTCCCAAATATTGAACAAAGAAGAGAAAAAAAAGAATGTCTTTTTTTGTGAATAAATTATCTTTTACCGAGTGTTGAATCTTGTTGATAAAAGTATTAAAAGTAATAAATTGTGCATCAATTCAACTCAATTATGTGGCAAAATATAAAGAGTTATTTATCAAGTTTACAAGAAATTTGCTCAATAATTGAATAAATTCACTTGCGAATAAAATGTTTTTTCAAAAAATGGTTTAAACTGAAAAGCGATTAAAAGGTTAAACAAAAGAGACTCACAACTAATCCCATTTTTGATAACATGTAATGGACGGTTTGGGTTACATCAGCTGCATGAATATTATTGTGATATGGATTTTTAAATTTTGTATAACCTTGTTCAAATTGGTTTAAACAACTTTCCAGTGTTTCAAGTGGAATCTGGTAAATGAAGAAAAGTTGAAAGATTAAATGATGAAGAATCGATTTAGAGAATAAAAATTTTCATTTTCAGAACATTTTTCGTTTCAACCTTTTTCAAAGGTCGAGTTTAATGATCGAAACATTACCTTGAATTTATGGACTAAACCATAACGATTGAGAAGCTCATAGCTTATATATTTGAGAACTTGATTGTTTGAAGCTTCGTTTAGCTTGAAACACTCGTAGGACCAATTATCGATACTCTGGAATGGTAATGTTTTGAGAAAATTAAGTTTTACGATTAGTATAATTTTTCGAATGAAATGGAAATTCTTTTGCAGATATGATTGGAAATTGACTTTTTTTACCTTTAGTTTATCGGCAATTTTAGGTGGAATTTGAACCATATTTGAACAGCACAGTCGACGATATAATCTGTCAACCATGATACCGGCTCGTATTGCATTTGCAACTGAACGAAATTTGGGCTTCTCTTCAGATCGACGTTTTTGAGCGGTATTATTGCGTGTAAAGGTTGAGGCCAACCATTCTCTAACCTCGTTTGGAACTGCATCAGGTTGTACTTCAGATAAATCATCTTCTTCATCCAAAAGTTTTCTGTTCAAGAAACAAAAGACAAAACAAACGAACCAAACAAAAGAGTAAAGTTTAAAGGTCGTTATTCACTTGAAAATGGACAAGAACTAAAAAATGATTGAAAAGTAAATGATGATCTATAAGTAAAGACGCCTTTTCCTGCCCACGATTTTAAACCAATAAATGGCTCAATTTTTAAAACTTTTTTTTCGCAAATCGCTCTATAAATTTAATCGATTTGAAAATAGTTATTTCAGGCATTTCAATTAATCATGATCATTTTGCAATAAAATCACTAAATTTTCAAAAATCATTCAAGATCTAAATAATCAACAGTTTTCGATGTCAATAAAGTTCATATGATTTTAAAAAATTAATTGGAATAAAAGGTGAACAATGAGAAATTTAAGTCCAAGTACTGGGTGCTTTCGTAAGATATTCAACTTTTTGACGTAAATCTCGAAATTCTTTGCTTTTACCATGGAAGCCTCTAGTGATTACTATCAATATTAAACAATTCCTACTCGAAGTATATTTTGATGGAAAATATAATACCGAATGATCATGAAATGTATGAAATGATCGAAACCGTCAGAGACCAAAAGCATCGAAAGCCAATTTCAGAATGAAATGTTTTCTTCTTTTTAGAGATTTTGAGATTTTCTAGTTTTTAAATCTTTACCTAGCCATTTTGTCGCATTTACTTATTGATCATCATTTGTGGATTCATTTGTAAGAGAAATACTATTTTTTATCACGAAAAATATTTTAATTTTCTAATCAAGCTGAGCTAATTAAATGTGAAATTTCTTTTAATTTTATCGTTTTCTTTTCTCAACATGTATACATAAAGGGACAGTCAACATGGAATGAACATGATGAGATTGGAAGACATTCACTTTACTTGGCATAACAAGAGGTGCAACACATAACATAAAACAAAACATGAAACAACGTTGAGGCAACATTTAAATGCAACATTAATAGAGACACAAAATTTATCATTTAAAGCAAAATCTGAAGACTCTAAATGTTGAGTGCAAACCATCTTCAGACTGGGAATGAAACAGAAAAGGAAAATGTAACAATTTCTCAGAGAACATGAAAAATGGCGAAAAACAGAAATTTTTTTGAGCAATTTCCACCTTTGCTTAATTGGCAAAGCAACAATTGTATACAATTTCATGGTTGAATATGAAGCAACATGAAACATTTCAACTCTAACTTTGCATAAAATTACCATGAGAATGTGAATGGTTAAGAATAAGTTAACAAGTAATTAAAGTTGAAACATGAAATTAAACTTCTTGATGATTCAACTTTTCCAAAACTTCTTTATTCAGAGTTTTCTTTTCTCTCTCTCTCACTCCTTCCCTGTTTAACGAAGTTGAATTTTGAACTAAATTCGTTAGCTAAATTAGTTACTTTAAATGTAAATTAAATTTCTGGTTTCATTTCTTTAGTTGTTATTCAAAGGTATTAAAAAGGAAAAACGTTGAATACTTGAATGTTGAACATTTTCTTAATGAACATTTCTAAAGATTTTACAAAATTTGAAACTTTTTCTTTTCCTTTCATTCAGAATAATTATTGCTCTTTGAATAAAGAAAATTCAAGTTTAAACAAAAAAGAAGAACTTTGATTTCTATTCAATTACAAGTTCAACTTGAATAATCTTTTCACTCGACTTTTCTCTTTACATTCAAATTAATTGGTAAAATTATCATTGATATTAATTAGTTTGACTTGTTAATTTGCACTTCTCGAGTTAATTTTAAGTTGGAATGACAAAAAGAAGAAGAAAAGTCGACTTTCTAAGTTGATTAAAAGTTGCATTTGCAAACGTTGTCTTTAGTCAAAACTCGAAAAGAAATTATTCGATTGACATTGAACAATAAAGTTGAATAGTCATGAATAATCTTCAGAACAAATGATAAAATAATTATGATGATAATGAAGGCATTAAAATGAGAGTTAAAAGGTAAAAAGATCAACTTGAAAAGTCGACGTGAAAAAAGCTGTAGAAGCTCATTAAGCATGACATGAGTCAGTTGCGATTTTTTATCTTTTCTATTCGCTCTACTTTGCTAACCAAAGTAGACAGGTAAATGCTCATTTAAGCTGTTTTACCTTTTCTTTTGCGGCCCAACAGAATAACTTGTTCAAGTGAAAACCCTGAAAATGTGTACATTTAGAAGAGTAAAATCCCTTTCCTCATCCAATTATCTATAAGTTTTTTCTTCTTCAATCAAAATGAACGAAAGCTTTTTTCCCAATTTCGTTCCACCATCTATTCTTGATACTTTATCTCGAGTTTTGTACTTTTTTTTCTGGTGAGTTTTGGTTGGTTCGAATAAAGATGAGACAAATAAGGTGGAAAGTTGATTCTTGTTAGAGAAACGATGATGAAATGAAGAGCAAGAAAAAGGTAAATGGTGATAAATTTTTGAATCTCATTAAAGTTGATGAGAAAATCCAAAATGAATAACAAGAGTTGAAACTGTGGAAAAGGAAAAAAGCTGATCAGCATCAATCAAACTGGATTTGCATTTCGAGTTTACTCTTTTTTCTCAGTTCTTGTCTTTCTTTCGTTTTTTACTTCATTTTACCTCGAGTTTTGCTCAACATTTACTGTAACCATGTCACTATGACCTACAAGATGAGATTAGTGTCATTAACTGGGTAACAAAAAAACAAGATTTTGTTATCATTCGTTTGATTTGAGCTGATTTTTCAGAATTAATTTCATCGGTTGACAGGAAAAGAGGAAAAAAACTGATTGTTGATTTATATTGAAAGCAGAGTGAATAAAACTCGAAATCAACTTGAAATCAAACTCGAAAGGTTAATTAGCATTTTCCCTTTTAGTTGAATCTACTTTGTCTTTTATCCTGCAAACCAACTTTTAATGACTTCAGGGTAAATGAGAGAAAAAATTCAGAGGCACGAAAATTTCGAAAAACAATTCTCGACGGAACTGTTTCGATTTCCAGTTTTTTAAGACTGACATTTTGATCAACTGTGATTTAGTTGCAAGTCTGACAAAAAATATCAAAATCGTGCTTTGAATATTTCGAAATAATTATTTTCGATTTTTTAGCTTTCGAAGCTCAAAGGAGAATTATTTTTCGAAAATTATCGATTCATCGATTTAGGTGAGATTGTTGATGGATGGAAATTTTGGAAGAGAACATGTAAAATTCGAAAATGGTTTTTTGATATCGATTTTCGACATTTTTGTTACCCTTTTCTTTGCATTTCTAGACACTTCGGTTCATCAATTGTCAAATGCATTTTCAGACATCAACTTTTGATAGAGTCAAACGAGTCTCATTATCATGTTGATGATAATTAAATCAGAAAATTTCATTTACATGATGAGAAGAGCTGTGAGAAAGGTCGCCACTTCCATCGTTTCCCTTCTAATGGCGAACATACTTTTTCAAGTGATAACATTATTAACATTTGAGCACAAAATATCAATAATGCTTTCAGTGTGTTGAGTGAAAATCAAATAAATAAACATGTTCAGATAATAACTAATATCTGATCAATATTTATTCATGTTGACATTTTCACTCAATATGCTGATTGAGAATCAGGCGAGTGAAAGAGGGAATCTCGAGTGAACAGTTTTACCGGACGAAAAGAGAATAAAGTGCAAACGAAAAAAAAAGTTGAACCAATTTTGTAAATTACGTAAAATGGTAAATGATCAAGTCGAGATGAAGTAATTAACAGAAGAAAAAGAAAAAGTTTTTGCATAAATTTATCATTATCTCAGTGAACAGTTGGAATTTTAGGAAAATCTAATATTCTTTGAATAATTAAATGCCAAGTTAACCTTTTTTCTGGTTGCAGTTCAAATTTCAAGTTTCAACTTTGATGTAATAATAGGAGGCAAAAAAGCTTGTTAAGGTAAGCACATTATGTTGGGTTTCAACTTCAACTCTTGACAAGTCAGTTATTCAATTATTTTAATGGAAAAGATAAACATTTTTTTTCTACAGATAATCAGGATTACTGGATTAAGGAATGATAATGAGAATTTTTTTCTCTTCTTTTACATCCAATGAATACAAATTTGATTGGTGAAAACAAAGCAAATGCAGGTTGATATGAAAGATGAAAATTGAGCAAAAATTTTCACAGGGAATGACTGGGAGTGAACAAGTTTCCATGAAAAGGGATTGAAAAGTGAATTACGAGTTTTGGATAAAAAACGGGAAAATCGAGCTCAAATTTCGTGGCAATCTTTTACAGTCGAGTTTCGAAATGAAAATGAATAATAAATGAAAGGAAAAAATGTAATCACAAAAAGGGAATGAAAACTGAGCAATAAAGAAATGCAAATGTTGAAGATAAAACTGTTTTAAAAAGGTAATAATGAAAATGCTTAGGAATGATAATGGCATTGAAACAACATGAGAATATCAACATTAACTTGCGCCTTCGAAAAATGCTGGAATGAAAGGATTGTTCTCAAAAATTCTGACACTTTTTCATTCTAACTCACTAATGTTCTGAGAGGACGAAAAAAAGAGTTTTGATAACTTTCTTTAAGCTCTGTGATTCTATGTTGCACAGGGAGTAAATGTTATTTTGATAGACAGTAACCTTGATATTGAGCTGGTTGGAATGGTTTTGCTTGATAAATTCCGTAGCTTATCTGAGCTCTGTACAATGGAAGAGGAAATTGATGCTGATGATGTTGTCAACATTGTTGATGCCTCTTCTGTTCCAGATCCGCAAACGGAAAGGGATTTGGTTAATGAAGGTGTTGGATCAGTTGGAGCTCGAGCTCCAAGTCCCTTTTTCCTAACCAATCCTGGACGCCATTTCCTTAATCAATTTCAATGTTTGTTTTGTAAAAAGGAAAATGTTTTTTTTTCGATTTTTTTATTTTCGATTGCAATGATTGAAAAGATTCCAAATGTTGACAAAACACAGATTAAAAGCGAATCATTTGAAGGTTGAAATGAGCACAAATAGAGGAGAAATGATAATGACGATGATTTGATGATTGAAACAGATAACGTTAAAGAGAGAGAAAGAGAAAGAGAAAGAAAAGAAAATGAAGAAAGATGAAACACATAAACATGAACATTTTTAGTGAATGAACACACACAATTATCTGGATTCTTTGAAACTTTTGAATAATTGTTTGGATAAAAATGATGAAAGTCAACTTTTACAGTCTAAAAGTTGAACATTTTTCTTTCGTTGGAAACACTTAAGGAATTTTTACACAAACATTTACATGTAAATGATTGAGGATAATTTGCTAATGATAGTGGAAACTGTTGCCAATGAAAATAGTGTTCTGATGATTTGATTATATAATGAGAATTGATTGGAAAATTTTCACTCCATTTCATTGTTGGTCAATGTTGATACTGGGAGTTGAACAATGAAACATTTAATTTTTGCTTTTCAGAGAAACAGAGAGAATCGAATTTCTTGCCAATTCGCTTATTAGTTTGATAGCGAAAAAAAGTGATAATTAACATTTATCAATTATATTCTCTTTTTTCTGTATTCATGATAAATTCTGCGCAGTATTTTGGAAACTTGTTTTGTTTCTGGAACCCATTTTTTTGGTTCGAGTCTCATTATTTTTGCCTTTCACTTTTGCTTGTCTAACTAAACTGTCAGTGTCATTATTAACTCATCGTAATTCATAACAATTGTTAATTTATCAGTTCAACTTGAATGGACAATGATTACATTAAACTAATATTAATGTGAGATAAAATGTAATTTACATGGATAATTAGCATTAAAGTTCATTTTAATGGACAAATGATGAACGAGGAAAAGTTTTTTTGTTTTTCTTCTTCTGATAAATGTTCCAACTAGACAGGCTAAGGTCAAGTGAATGGGTGACTTGGAGGGTTGCACTGTTGGCATCAAATTGAACACAACAGTTGCCCTTCTGACGTGAAGGTTACTTGAGTCTAGTTTTAGACTTTTATGTTTAGAAAAATTTTGAGCAAATAAAAAGTTCTTACCTTGTTTCATCCATGGTAACAGTATCGAGAACACAGGCAGCATATTGAAGAGTCTTTTTAAGTATTGATATGGGTACTTCACCATGATCCAAGTGCTGAGCCAACTCTCTTAATCTGAAACCGGAAAGGGGAAAGAGAGAAAAAAGATTAAATTATTGAATAAAAACAATAACTTTTTCGGTGTCGATCATTTCTTGCCCAGTCGATTTTCCAAATCGCTTTTCTAGCTCAACCGAACTCGACAAGGTTAATTAGTATAATAGAAGTATGTAGAAAAAAATGAACATTCGTTAGTTTGTTATCTTGTATGTTAATGATCATGTATATTGTATAAACATGGTAATGATAATAGGATAGATAATGTGTTATGAACTGACGATAAGGTAAAACCCTGAAATATTGATCCATAAGTTGATCATGATGATTATGTTCTTATTATACATTTTTTTCTTAACATTTGGCTTTTCCTTTCCATTTCCATTAGAGATTCACCTTTCAGAACACAATACGATTAACTGTTTGGAATCCATTTTAACCATTTTTCGTTGTTCAAATTCCATTGAATTTCAAGTTTAATCATGAAAACTTATTTAAACTTGAAAGTTGAACAAATAGTCATTTAATGAACTGTTGTTGAAGATGTTATCATTTCACGATTTAACCTTTAAAGTTGCAAATTCAAGTTTATTTATAACTCGATATTGTAATTGGCAGGTTGAGACGATATAAAGTATCACTTGAATAATGAAAACAATAATCACAGTAAAAATAGATTTTTTCAGGTTAAATTGAAACAATGATAAAGTCAACACTTTTCACCCAATCGATTGAAAATTTTCTTCTCTCATTACCATTTTTATTGATTATTATGAGAAGAAAGTTGATGAAATGATGATGTAGGAGTAAATTGTGGGCTAATCTTTAAATGATGATAACATGATTATCATATTACTGTCAAGATCTAATCATTAATTGACGTTGTTAACATTGGTAATCAACAGTGACAAGTTAATATTTGTCAATAATGTTGGCCAATTCAATTCAATAACCTTTACATTAACGTCAAAAGAAGAATGACAAAACTCGGAAAATCAGATTCGTTTTATAAAACGAAATGTTTTTTGTTAAAAAATTGCTCAATAAATTCAAACATTTGCCAAACGTAAAACAAAGATTTTTATTGCTTGTGAAATGATTGTTGATGTTCAACTTGAAATTTGTTTGCCAACGTTTTCACACACTTTCAAGGTATTACCTGATCAGACAAGCTGAAGCATCCTTTAATCATCTTGTGATCAAACACAATCAGTTAATTGGTTCATCAAGGTCAATCAATCAACACTCATTTAATCTCTACATTTTCTTTCAACGTTTTTCATTCTTTTGTGCTAGACTCGCTAGTCAATTGATACATCTACTGGTTTATAAGTAAGTAAAGTAAATTCTGATTGACATGTCTTCCAGCCTTGACTTTGGCTGAGACGAAATCAAAGCCGAAGAAATCGTCTGTTCTCTTTTTCTGAATCGAAACTCTACTCTGATTACGAATAGCTAATTTTTTCGAAAAGAGTAAAAGATAAAGTTCTTTTTTCACTCTGTTTGGCGTTTTTTTAAGGAACCGAATTCCTCCTTAGATTTTCATTGAAAGTGGTTTCGTTTTTTTTCTGTTTCGCTAATGTGTTTTTTGTATTTCTTTACACTTGACATTGTCTCCATTAGATGATTGCCTTTGATGCTTGAATATCCATAATGGTTGCTAACAGGAAAATGAGGATAATTGAACTTTACAGCTCAACGGATGTTCAATAATGCCCCGGTTCATTTTATTATTCATTATCTGTGAATATAACCTGATGTGAGGTGAGCAAAACTTGAAGTGCAAACAGAAGAAAAACAAACGAAAAAATTTTACTTATTAATGGAATAATCAGCAATTTCCTTCAATTTAACTTGTATTGGTCAAAATTGAATAAATTGTAATTGAAAGAGTTTCTAATCAAAAGGTTGTTGATTCAAAATATTTGGTTAAAGTTTAAAGGAAGAGCAAAGTTGAATGACTAGTTTCGATGATTTCAAAGGAGTCTTTTGAGTTTATCATGAAAAATTTTGCTTTTGAAACTTCGATGCAAAGCAACGAGAATTCGATAGAAAGAAATTTAGATTTAATGAGATAAGAAATGAACACTTTTTGCCATTGAAATCCTAATGACAAGCACCGACTCAAATCCATCGATATCGTGAGTCGAGATTAAGATTTGCAACGAACCAAATGCAAGATGAAGTTCTTAAAAATCCAATTTCGATTGCAAAGAGTTCCAGAGCAACCTAATGAACACGTTCAAACATCGAAGTTCCCAATTTCCTTTCTAAATATCAAACTAAAAAACATTTAAAAATGAAATGAACTCTTACTAAGAGACCAAACTTGATAACATGAAATTTAACAGTAAACTATTGACTGAATTTTTCGCTGTTCATTCCTCAAGTGCAAAGAAAAATTTCATTTGAAGACTTAAAAAATGCAATTCAAAGCACTTGAGCTTGTGACAATGAACTTTGCTGATTACTTTAAACATTGCATCCTGTAATCCAATTACCTTGATTTATCCCGTAAAAGTCTCTTTGTTGCTCTTTTCATTTCTTGTGATTAAATTGTTCACTTGATTGTGATAAAAGTTGTAATAAAAGCATAATTAATAACTTTTACCTGACAAAACGAATCGAGTCGAGAATTTAATGTCATATGGTTAATTAGATTCTAATTGATATGTTGCATTTGCTATACTATTATCATCTAATATTGTCTAATATTAAAAGATAATTTTCCATTGTGTTACCTTTTTTGTTCTCCTTTTCTCATGGAATCAATTGCACTTTATTCTGGTCGTTGATTCATTTTCCCTCAACTCGACATTCTCATGACTAGAAATGATAGTCAATCGATAATTTCCGTGAGATTTCAATAGCAAAGTGATATTGTTCATCTTGTTCATCATTAGATGATTAACTTTTTTTGCTGCTAAACATTGAAACATGAGTTGCAGTTATGAAGAGTGAAAAGCAAAATCTTGAAAAAAGCAAAAGGGAATTGAAAGTTGTTGTGATGCAAAAAGTGAAGAAGAAAAAAAACTTTCTTTTCTCAAGTAAATAATTGAACAAAATTGAATCAATAATGATGAATATGAATGATGTTAAAGATGATGAAGATTAGCATGATGATGATAAGAGTAGACTTTTGCGTTTAGATTGGAAAAGCAGCAGGAAAAAAAAGAGTAGAGAGGAAGAAGAAAAAAAAGACAAAGTAAATTGTGTTGGAAGAAGAAGGGAAAATATTTCGAGGCAAATTGAACTCAAAGTGTTTATTCAATGTTAATAATGATTTGGAAAGTGATGAGTTGATTGCTTTTCACATTTCAACAATTGAACCTAGACAAACATGCATGATAAACATGGTAAAGTGAATTTGTTGAGAGGCAGCAAGGCAAAGAGTAAGTTGTAAACAAAAGAGTAAAATGGATAAAATAATGATTGAAAATTATTTGCATGTTGATTGAGAAAATTCATTCCAATGGCAATTAATTTGCTGTTCAACTGTTGATTAGTAGGCAACATGTAACACAGCTAATCATGGCCAAGTTTGGGTTTGTTTTGGAAAAGAAATTTTTTCATTTTTTCTGAAATTCTACCATCGATTTGAAGAGAAATTTCAGTCAATTGGTTTGGCAATTTTCGCTTCTTTTTCAATTATTAAGATTCCTTTAGCATTTTCATATCACTGAATTTGAATAATGAATTTGTAATTCTTTTTTTCTCTTTTTTCTTCCTTTTATATTTTTGATTGTCTTCAAAGGAAGTCATTTAAATAGACCGATGGAAATGATTGATTTATAAAGTCAGTAAATGATTTTTTAACCTTTGTTTTTATCTCTTCTCAGTTTCAAAATAACAGTTTTAACGATAAATTGATTGATTTCCGTGATTTGTAGCTATAAAGAAACCAATAGAAACTGAAAAAACTACAAAAAACAAAAAGCTATTATTTTACTCAGTGTCAAGTTTAACTGGCTGACTGTTCGAGTTGTTGCATATTGAAAGATAAATATTATGAGTTAAGTTTTATCGATAGTAAAAAAACAATCTGGTGATCTAACACCTAAAATCATACTACACATGAGCAAATCCCATATCCGGATAAAAAAAGTGATTCTTTCATTTTTATTTCCAAAGTTGTTCAAGAATCGAAAATTGAACCTGAGCAGGCAAACATGATTGGCGGAAAAATGATCGAACCGCAATGCTGAAAATGTGCGTCGATCATTCGCGCTAATGATGAATGAGTTTTCAATTCCCTGTCTGTGCTCGAGCCAAATGGCTTGTTCATGAATCAAATTGCGAACAATAAGATTACGTGTTAGTAAATTAGGTTGAAATATGTACAGATAAGTATCGAGTATTAACTCGAAATTCGAAGTTTCTAAGTTTGCCCTTTTTGAACAAATGGTTAGATCAATGTGATGGCGAAGTTGTGGCTAAGGTCCTCTTCAGTCTTACTCAAAGTTCAACTGTAACTATTGAACTTTAATGCAGTGAGGGGCACGAGATAAAACATAAGATAAGTCTTTGTTTATCAGTTGTTATCATTTGATGAAGCTAATTGTTTTTACATTAAAGCTCAAAAGGTTATCAATCAAATCTATTTTTACAAGCTTCCTTTGTTTCAATGTTGAAGCTACAAAAAAAGGCAAAAAGTAAATGTAACAAAAAATTAAACTTGACAAGTAAGCATAATCGAGTAGTTTTGCATCACTATTGTGACAAAAAATGAATAAAGTCCAAAGAAACTTTACCTCATTCGTAAAAAAAGTTGACTTATTCAAGCTTCACTTATTGTGAAACTCAAAGAATATCCGAAATTCCATATTTTACATGAAACAGAATCTGCTCGTCTTCATTAAGTCCTTTAGATAGAAAACTGTCTCGAAAACGACTTTTCCGTGAAAAGAGGAGAATCATCGATTACTAAAGTAATCGTCAAAATTGAACGTTAACATTTCAAAATTCACTTGTGATTTACCTTTTGAGCAAGAAATTTATCGACACTTTTCCTGTTTTCATTTAAAATGATGTAAATAAAAAGATATTGATTTACCTTGAAGCGGCTTTATCACAAGCTTCAACTGTATCAACCGGTGGTAAAGTATCCATAGAAGTTTCCTTCAAACTTAAAGAATCACCAATTTTATCTGTTGCACGTTCAGTATCCTTTAGAGTCCATTGGTCTGAGGTTGTCTTTTGCACAGTACGACGAGCAACAATGGCTAGAGACGAGTAAAAGGTAAGTGAAACACGACAGCAATGGTACGCAAAAAGAGTGAATAAAAAGTAAATTAATGTTGAGCCTTGGAAGAGTATAAATGTTAAAAGCTGTTTCAAGTTTAAATGGGTTGAGACTTTTTTTTAATTAGTTCAAATACAGTTTGAGGAAGTTGAGCGAAAGTTTAATTGGCAAACTGAGCGACGATGAGAAACGAACGAGAAGAAAAAAATTGAATTTCCAAATGAATAGAAATCTATTTTGTTAGCTTTACTTCCTTATCTTTGGGTATTAACAGTCTATTAACAGATACAGTTTTACAATTGTTATTGTTAAAGCTCTACATCAACTTATCATTCTCATCATTATCTTCACTTTTCGTCATCAGAATCATGATCATCATCACAAAGGCATCATGAAAGTAGAAGAACAGAGGAAGTGAAAGAAATCACTTGTTACAAGTTTGTTTACTAAACCAGTTTCAATGAAGAAAAAAAATACTCAAATTCAATGATGGAATAGCGCCATCTGTTTTGTAAAGAAATATTGCCAAGAATGGATAAGATATGGAAGATAGAAAAATGAGCTTTTTCTCCATGAAAGAGGTCACCACTAAAGGAGAGAACCTGATGAGACTGAGTTATTTTCAGCATCCATTTATGATGATTGACTAACCAGACGTAAGAGTTGGACAAAGTCTCGTTAAACATTTGCAAGTTCAATGTTGCAAGGAAATTGATCGATAATTTTAAAATCATTTTCATTCTCTTTTCACTTCTCTTGTGGTTGTCCAATCATTTTGATTCATGTAGTTTTTTATCAAATTTTCTCGATCAATTTAACAAAACTTTCTTCTTTCGTCGCTAAAAGTGTCCAATGTCAATTATCGAAAAGGAAAGGAAAAGTTGACTTTTCTTCTTTGGAAATCTAGATTTTCTACAGAAAAATGAAACTTTTTCTTTCACGTTTTTTCTCTCTTTTTATCAGCATCATGATCATGATCGATAATTTGCTCTGCTCATTATTGGTTCATGATGAAATACAAACACAATAATGGATGAATTATTGGTCCACTTGAATTGTCTCAATTTTGGGTTTCAATATTCTTTATCTATTCTAGTCACGAAGTCTTTTTCCTTTACCATTGGCTGAATCAAATGGCAAAGAGAAAGGTTTCGAGAGAAAAAAGTAAAAGGAAGAAAAAAAAGATTCAGAGAAAGTCGAATGATAATGACGATAATGAGCATGAGAATGATGACGATGAGAATAATGTTGAAAAGAGTAAAAGATTACAAGAAAATGAGTAGAAAATTAAATCACTTTTGCATCGCAATTTTTCATTACAAGCTTTCCATCAAGTTCAACGCTCCATTGACCTGAATACTGGCCAATTTAAAGCAAATATCATTATCGTTATTAGTTGATAATCAAATGTAACGTAAAACTCGATAAATTCATTCGCCTTGAAACAGTAAAAGGTAATTTGAATAATTGCAAAACGAAAAAAGTTTATCTGTAAAAAGGTGAAAATGAATGCATTGAAACTGCTCACTTTACCAATAAACATTTCTTTCAACTTTTTATTTCTTTATTTTGAATCATTTATTCATAAGGAGAAAAAATTTGAAAGGAAAAAGAAAACAAAAAAATTGGAACATGAAAAAAGAATGTTTGAACTTACTCGTTTCTTGAGGTCGATTTTGTTCGTGATGAGCATCTTTGGTTACCTTTGTTTCAGGTGGATTGGCAACTGTAAAGAGATTAGAAAATTTAAAGTCTTGTCAAGATCATTGAGTTATAAAAGTTGCTAACACAAAATCGGATCAAATGTAACATTGAAATGTCAATCAAACAATCACAGATTATTAAAGTTTCAATTGTTGGCGGTTTCCTGTTCCATTACGCTTGTGCATTTCATTTAAGGATAACATTCATTTCGCTATGAAATAGCCAAGCTTTTTGTTCAAGTTTACTCATCGATTAAGTTTTGATTGCTATTATGATACTTCGATGTCTTTATCATTTGGAAAATTACATTGTTCTAAAGACTCGACAATCTCGAAAATAGTGAAGAATTTTTTCCGTAGCTGGATGAATACATGAAATCACGTAAAATTGAATTTTATTTCATTTGTTTAATTAAAAGCAAACTCACGCAAAGTTGTCTATTCACTTGTGCGGAAACTGATCACTTACAAAATTGATTCAAATTGTAAAATTAATCAAAACCCGCAACATTTCAGAATTCAATTTTGATAATCAGAGAAAAGCAAAAAATGAGCAATTTCGAACAATGACGAACAGTCTCATCAAAATTATCATTTCGAGTTTGGCGATTCGAATAATCCAAGGACTATCAAAATCTATGATCCAAATAATTGCTTTTTATTGATCGATATTTTGATTAATTTTTGGTTTCGCTTTCACTAACTCAGCAATCGTTCTTATAAATTATCCAATCATTTCTGTTTTCAATCAGCATACAAAGGTACTAAACACCAAACCACTTTAATTTGGAAGCTTGTGTTTGATCAAAAATATAATCGAAAGCAATGGAAGTTCAAACTTGGATAATCGAGAAGTTTTTCACCTTTTCGCTTCGGAATATGACTTTTTTTAGATGCAATACAACTTTGCTCAAGTTTTTTTTCATCTTCAAAATTCCGACAAAAAAATCGTCAAAAAAGTTGAAGAAAAAAACTTAACCTGGAAGTGAAAAGATATTGTAATTTGTCAATAATTTACAATTCAATAGATGGCGTAACAAGATGGGAAGTCGTTAGTTATTGGTGAAACTTCAACTGGGAATCGAGATATTTCAATGAATTTTGCTTTCTTAGCGTTGTTTTTATTGATCAAATTAAAGTCGAGGATTTTGCCATTAATAGGTTTTGTTTTTGCCAATTCAACTTTGCGCTGCAATTTGAAAGTCGAGTTTATATTCTGAACATTTCACGATTGAATTCAATTTTATTGGCTATTTTTTACTGCAATTGTAATCCAAATCCAAACTGGTTCAAGTTGATACCAATATCACACCAAGTCTGGCAAAAGTAAACTTACGATAAATGAAAAGCTATCCTTTCATTGACTTATTTTTATTATTTTGTAATCAATTGTTATCAACAACTTTTTCCAAATAACTCAGTTTGCTCAAGTTTACTGAACATTTGTTTAGTTTTTATTGACATTCTTGTGGTTTAAAAGCAAAATTATTAATAAAATTTTTTTTCTTTTTTTCGTTATTTTTCATCTTTAAAAAGCCAAAAGGTTGATGTATTTGTTGATGTTAACACTATTTGGGATTAAAGTGTTTAGTTAAAGACTTGAAAGTTTTCCTAAATGAACAAGAATTGAATGCAACGTAAGAATAATATTTACTATTCTTCATTGTTGGATAACTTTTTGATCACAAAAGCAGTTGGTTTAACGAAATGCTGAGCAACAATGTTGAACCAAAAATTGTTCAACAGTAACAATTTCGCCTAAACAAATATTGATTCAACTTTTCTTTAATATTCATTTCAATTTCAGATTCACCGTTCACTTCAACGAAAAGAAATTGTCGGAAATTATTTACTTTTCAAGGAATAAAGAGTTTGATAATGAACAGTATTGCCAGTATTCAGGAATCTCAGTTGATGCACAAATGAAAACATCGGAAGATCTTTATTCAAAGATTCAAGGTTTGTAAGTAAAAGGTTCTAAAATGAATCCACTTTTTCGATTTCGTTATTAGAACATTTTTGCACATTAAGTTAACTGATTTTCTTGAGATGAAATTCAACGGCTAAACATCGTTGAATCAGTGATTTATGAAATCATCGAAATGATTAAAGTTCATTCAAGTGTTGGTCTTGTTTTAAAGATTGCCAAAAAATCGATTTAAAAACTTATGCTCAGAGTTGCCCAAAGTGTCCAGTGAATTTTTCATCCCTTTTTATTTTCCCATCAATTTTCATTGTAAAAGTATTGTCAGCATTCTGGGAAAAGATAAACAACTGGAAAAGTCAGGGAATGAATGGCAAAGAAAAAGACTCGACTTTAAACACTGAGCGAGTGTTATTATAATCTTTAAAAATTTGAACAAACAAGTTGACAAAAATATATTAAACTATCCACATCAATGAGTTCATAATGGTTCATTGAGAAATGATGAAAGGAAAAGGTTGAGGAAAAGGCTGAATAGGAATGTGAGTGGAAAAGAGATAAAGTAAATCAATTGGTAAATGATGACATGGAGAATAATTCATTTTAAATGAAATAAAATGGAAAAGTAAGAAAAGTATTTCCATTTCGAGTTGAAAAGCAAATTGCAAACGACCATATTCATTGGTTGAAAAGTCACATAATAATTTTGATGAAATGATGAAAGGAAAGTTCTTGAACTGATCAAGGTAGACAATGAAAGGGTTAAATAATGGAAAAGTGAAAAAAGGTTTTTGGACAAAGTTGACTGAAAAGGGAAAAGTATTCAACTTTTCTAATTCTTGCTGTCTTTTCCAATTATCGTTTCATGATTTTTTTGTTTGTTTGTAAATAATCGGATTGGTTGTTGTTGCAATGTTGAAAGTAAAAGGTCAAGTTATCTTGGATTTTTGTGAATTGAATAAGATACACTGAAAGACAATGATAATTGTTTTCTTTTTTTCTACTGTTAAGTAATATCTTTTCAATTTACCTGACGAAAATGTAATGGCCAATAAGTCAGAGATTAGAGTTGAGATTCTCGATTCTTTTGATGCTTCAATTGACGTAAAGATTCATTTAATGAACAATAAAATGCAAACCAACAATAGTGTGCAAAAGAGTCAGATAATAAAAAACGAGTTTAACTTGTACGTTTCAACTCTTTTACTCTGTAAGGCAATTGATAGGATAACTGTTTATTGCAGTTCATGTTATAATGAAATACTCCAAGATCAGATGAAGATTGGCATTTTCGAGTTTTTCAGTTTCATTTTTGTACAAATTTGTCCATAAAAATTTACTCCATTACTTTATGGTTCACATGATTTATGATTATGAAGGCTCACATGATACGTCGTAAAAGAGTTTGAGAGAAACTCTGAAAAGATTAAAAATCTGTGTACATTTTCGATTAGCATTCATGTAAACAAAAAAACTCAACCTTCATGAGATCAAGCATTTTGTTTCATCTCGAGGGAGTCGCGTTGTCATTCTGTATCAATCTCATTATGAACGATTCATTATTTTCTAGTTTTCAGCTATTGCTACAAAGTTCTCTTTCTACATTTCTAACCTAAATTAGGATGGGAACTCTTATTGGGTTAATGAAATGTACTCTTTACTGGCCCAAAAGGTAAAGTCTTGTAAAGTAAAATTCTCGATGTTCTTATCACTTGTGGTTCTTTCATGAATTCTGAAGAAGGTACAGAGTCTGAGCCTTCATGACCAATTTCGTCTCTAGCTTTGGTTTTCAGCTTGAATATAAGTTTCAATGAGATGAGTGTAGTGATTCATTTGGCAGCGATCACGGTCATTTAAATGCTTTATCCAGCTAAATCATTGATTTCGTTTGTTCTGCGAAATCAAACTCTGATCAATGTGCAATCCTGGACAATGAATGGTTTTAAATTGGATGATTTAGGATTCTTTGAAAAATTAATAAGATTTCGAGTCATTTTGACTTGAAATTGATTTTGCTTCTATTCAGTTTAATGCAATTACCTTGAGCTGGTATTGCTGTAAGAAATATGTTGATATCAGAATCGGGTTAGGAATGATTTGCAAGTGCATGAAGCATCACTGCTTTGAACTTTTGCAAATATTTATCATTCCAAAAGAGACAATTCATTTAGTTTAATTCCTTCTTTTCAATCTGGAAAAGCTGCAACTAATTGAAATTGTAATCTTTTCATCCTTTCCAATGTTAATAGTAAAAGTTGTAAATATTTGATAGACTCGAGTTGATTGAAGAGACGAAGAAAAGACTGCGCAAAAAGGGCAACTCAAACAGAAGTGTAATCAGTCAAGTTTAAATTGACACTCTACTCATTAATCAAGAAAAATTGTAATATTGAACAATTTCAATGAAAAGTCGCGATTTGTCAACAAAAGAAGAACAAAAAAGGTTGAAAAGTGAAAGGAACAAAAGCTGTTTATTCGCGATTCTTTTGTGTCTCAATTTTCTCATCGACTCTTTAAAATGACAATAAATTGTCAATTTAACACGAAATTTTCTTCTAAACTCGGATTCCAGTTTATCAATCAAATTAATTACACTTTCTTTCCAAAGTTTACTGTCTTTGATTAAGTTTGCGCTTTTCTCCTTTACAATGGCGTTTAATAAACTTGTCAAGAATGTAATTAACTTTAAGCAAAAAGCTCATCAATAAATGGGGAACATGGAATAACTAATGAGATTATTTTAATCAACTGACTTTTCCTTCGTCAACCAATCAGAGTAAAAATATTTTGACAAACTATTTGAAATTCCAACTTCTTTTGTCCTTTCCCTGAATTGTGTTAATCTTTGCCTTTTTGTGAGTTTCTTGTGTCGTCCTCCCTTTGTTTCGCTATATTACTGTTAGTTTCAGGATTGTTGAAACAATGAAGAAGCGAACAAAAAAGGTAGAAAAAAAGAAGAGACGAAAAAATCTCATAAACTCGTCTTAATTTAATAATATCATGACAATGATTAAAAGAAGATTGAACATTTCATTGGTAATCATGATGATAAAAGTCTTACTTTTTGCTTCCTTCTCTTTTCAGCTTCAACTAGTCAAC